AATTGAGAAGGTCTACTTCTGATTTGGGTTTAGGTAAAGGATCATTTTTTATAAAGCTTTGCTTTGGTTCTAATCTGTGAACTGTGCTTCTGATTTGTCATCCCTTTGTCAGTGTTCGTATCGTATCTCTCTGGAAGGAAGTGGGTTTCTGAGGACATCGCTGAGGCTGTACTCGAACAGGTGGGTTATTTTTGTCCTGGTACAAAATTCGGTTTTCATGTTTTTGATAAATCTGTTTTGTGATTGCATTTAAATGGTATTTGGTTTATGTGTTTACATATTAGTTTGCACTTGAAATGAGTTTTCTTTCAAGCATTTTGTAATTTTCGTGATCATATTCGATTAGTGGTACATATCCTCTCGTGAAACCTAGGGATTAAAGTAGAAGACCAAAACTTGAAAGAATGAAATTAGGGTAGCTGATTTATGTTAAATTTGAGCATGGAGTGTTTGCAGCAACATTGACTATTGCAGGCTGGCCCAGCTGTATCCTATACAAAAGAGAAACTTTTGACTGATAATTCATACCGCAAGTTTCAAATGTTTACAACTTCAACCTCTAAATCATAGCTTTGTAAAGTACTTACCAGGTTACATGATTTCTAACGTGTCTTATAGTTTTAAGCAAGAAAATGCAATGTCAAACAAAGAAAATGCATTCTGCAAACCCAAAAAACATATGATGCCCCAAAATGAAGTCCAAGATGAACGAAATATCTTGATCATCATAAGTTGGATGCAACAAAATGCTTCCCAAAAGTACTTCAGCCTGCTTGGAATTATGTCTTTAAGATTTATTGCCAAAATTCAGCATGTCAACATTATACAGTTGAAAGCCACTGAAAACACTAATGAAAATAAGAATAAAAAAACTGCACAATTCCAACTACAAAAGGGAAGACAAAAAACAGTTGTTAAAAACCAGAGGCTCTGTCACTTACGTGTACTGATGAAGAAAGTGACCCACATAATCAGACATAATTTGAGAATCAGCAGCCTGAGAACAGAATATTAGACAGATTAATGATAGAATAGAGCAACTACAAAGTCTGTTACCAGCCACCCAAAAAAAGGCCTTGTTACTTAGCTATCGAACAATGTTCCTGAGAGATTGAATGATTCAAAAACAAATTAAGCAGGAGTAAAGAGAGATAAAGAATGAAATAGGTAGAAGTGGTTAGGTGTTTGTTGGTTAGGATTAGATAAAGAATGAAATAGGTAGAAGTGGTTAGGAGTAAAGAGAGATAAAGAATGAAATAGGTAGAAGTGGTTATATGTTCTGGTGTGTTCATCTTCTTTTCTTTTAGATTTTTTGGTGTTTGTTGGTTTGGCTTTCAGCTCTTACTTGAAACAAGGTTTTTCAGAGATTAGGATTAGATAGACTACTTGTTTCATTTCTCAGTCTTCTTGTCTACTAAAAAAATAATAATAGTCAAGTGAATATTTTTATCTTATTCATCGTGTGAATTTTCATGTATTTTTATGGTTGATCTATACATTTTTATGGTTGATCTATACATTTTTATGGTTGATCTATGTGTTAATGAATTTTCATGTATTTTTATGGTTCATCGTGTGAATTCTTCAAGGATAGTTGACATTACATTCTGAAATTTCAAAGAATAATCGAACCACTTTTCAAACTTATATGTTAATTAAGATAATTTTTTTTCTTTCTATAATGTGGTCCTTTTTATTATAAGTTTTCTCTTCTGTTCAAACTAACTTCCACTTAATGAATTAGTGTGATGAAATGTTTATTTAGTCTAGAATGCTTTAATGGTCGTAAATTGTTGTGTCCGAGTAGTCTTATATAATAAATAGTTGTATGGAAAATCACATGGACTAAAATTACATTTGGTAAACCTGTGGGGTATCCATATAAACCTGTGCAATTTAATCTTGTGATTAATGGTCCAATTTTTTTCCCAAACTGTGATGTAATCTTTTGTAGTTGTATGTGGATCGTTTATTGGTTATTTCTTGGTTATATTACAAATCAGTAGTTGGTATCAATGCCAAAGAATGGGGCATCTTCGTCAAATCCTAGTGCTACATGGAATGCCCACAATATATCTATATTTTGTGATATTTGCATCAAGGAGGTTGAGGCCGGACATCGTCCGGGCACTCACTTTGACAAAGATGGATATGCAAATATTAGAGCTAACTTCAAGGCAGAGACAGGGCATGATGATTATGAAAGAAAGCAACTGAAAAATAAGTGGGATGCACTTAAAAATGAGTGGAAGTTATGGAAAGAGCTAGTTGGTAAAGAAACTGGCCTAGGGTGGAATTCGAGCAAGGGTACCGTTGATGCCTCTCAGGAATGGTGGAATAATAAAATTCAGGTTTGTGTATTTATTTTTTAATATGTATTATGATATCATGCAATATGGCTTAACCATATTCTTTCTTACTTGTAGATAAACAAAGAATATGGAAAATTCCGAAAAAAGGGCATTAGTCCTGAGATGGAGGACAAGTTAGATAGGATGTTCTCAAACACAGTTGCTACCGGTGAACATGCATGGGCACCTTCCTCTGGAGTACTACCACCAGATACAAAAGATGAATCTATAGGACAAGTTGATTCAGATGATGAGGATGAAATTGAGACCATGCAGGATATAAGGCAAGCTAGTAGGAAGGGAAAAAAAAAAGCGGCTAACCAAGGAGAATTGCAAAACAAGAAAGGGAAAAAAATTGGAGGTGCTGCAAAACTTTGTGGTCAAATTGACCGTCTTGTTGAAGTTTATGAAACTAGGAGTTCTGCAAACTCATTGATGTCCAAACTGCATATAGGAAATAGTATTTCAGAAGTGTTAGCGACTGTTGCACAATTGCCTGGTTGTGAGCCACCTAACGAGTTATGGCTGTTTGCTACATGTTTATTTTGTAGCGCAGAGAAGCGAGAGGTGTTTGGCACGATGAAAGATCCTGAAGTCCAGCTAACTTGGTTGAAATATCTGTTCAACAAAGAACAATAGGGAGCTAAAAGCCTAAAACTATGAATTAGGACTATATGTGTGGTTGTACTTTGCATTAAGATTTATGTATTGAATGTTACTACATGTTTATTGAATGTTGGATTATATGTTGAATGTGTTGAATTATGATTTCTTGTTAAACGTTGGATTATGACTTGTTCTTGAATGTCGGAGTATATGACTTCTTAGTGATTGTTGGATTATGACTTGTGGAATGTTGAATTATGTGTTAGGTTATAGGTGTATATTCAATATGAATACCTCTGATGATAATGTTCAGGATTTGGAGGATGGTGTAATTATATGCGCTGTAGCGAGAGCTGTTGAAACATATTATTTAAAATATGTCCACAAAACTCCGTGTATGAATTCTTCCTAAACAGGTAATATTTGGTTGATGGAAGTACTACAAGGAAATCATGTGCGATGCTATAGAATGTTTAGGATGAACAAAGATGTCATTTATAGATTATCCAATGACTTGCAAACTAATTATGGGTTGAAAGGTTCAAGGAAAATGAATGCAATTGAAAATATTAGGAATGTTCTTACATATGTTGGGACATGGTGGTGTGAAAAATAGATTAGCTCAAGAGAGATTTCAACATTCTGGTGAGACTGTTAGTAGATATTTTGGTGTTGTGTTAGATATCGTATGTAAGATGGCAATAGATATTATCAAACCGATGGATTCTGAGTTTCGTGGCATTCCCCAAGAAATAAGGAGAGATACAAGATACATGCCTTATTTTAAGGTAAATTTTGACTCGTCTTCTAACTTATTTGTAAACTATAAGTGTTTGCAAACTATAAGTGTAGGTTGACGATTTTCTTCTATGTTATTATTTTTAGGATTGTATTGGTGCCATAGATGGAGTACATGTTGAGGCTTCAATACCACCTCCGGATCAAGTTCCATACATTGGTAGGAAAGGAATACCGACACAAAATGTTATGGCTGCATGTAATTTTGACATGCAATTCACATTTGCTTGTGCCGGATGGGAAGACACTGCACATGATACAAGGGTTTTTTTATGCGTGCTACGGAATCCAAATTTAAACTTTCCAAAGCCTCCAAATGGTAATCTTCATACTTATTTATAACAATTTACATACTTGCTTTGTATAATTATTACAATACAAAACAAAATTTTCAATTTTCAGGAAAATATTATTTGGTAGATGCAGGGTACCCACAAATGAGAGGTTATTTGGGACCATATAAAGGTGAAAGATATCATCTCCCGGATTTTCGTAGGGATCCCGAACCAACGGGTCATAAAGAGGTATTCAACCACATGCATTCTTCTCTAAGGAGCATCATTGAACGAACTTTTGGGGTATGGAAGAAAAGATGGGCAATTTTAAGGGATATGCCTAATTACCCGTTCAATAAGCAAGTGAAGATTGTCATTGCTACAATGACTTTTCATAACTACATACGGAGGTATTCTGAAAGTGATCGTCATTTTGATGACCCCAAGGACTATTGTGAAGAGAGCGATAGTAGTGATGATGATGATGAAGAATACCAAAATTATCAAGTTGAAGGATCCCATGAGATAGACGCATTAAGAAATAGAATAGCAGCAAGTTTGATGAATGCATCTAATTAGACTACTTTCAAGTACATTAACAATATTGTACTAATGAATCCTAACTATTCAGTCTAAAATATTTCAATTGAAGTACTTTGTCATACTAATTAATATTTAAGATAAAGTTTATAAATATTTCTTTTTTAAAAATAAAATATATTTAATAATTCACTTTTATTTGTTAAGAAAATTAAATTAATAGCACATATAGTATTATACCCTTTTTGGTCATTTCACACAGTCACAGCTGTTTTACATAAAAGTTTATCAACACTTTTTTTTCCAAAAGCACTTTTACGAAAAAGTTTACCAAACACTCTGCTGGCTTTATTTCACAGCCGCTTATTCTAACAGCACAACTGCTTATTCTCACAGCAGTTTTTTTTCAAAGCACAGCAATACCAAACCAGCCCTTAGTCGGGTGAAATTTCTCGCTCTCTCCTTCCTTTCCAGACGCACTATCGATCCTATCTAGCTACTTTCTCTGCCTCTTTTGTGCTTGCTCTCTTGTGTGAATCCTACGTTAGTCTTCTTAAACACCTTCTTCTTCTTTGTTTGAATCCAAGTTCATCTTCTCATTTGTCTTCTTTTTCCCAAGTTCCGGCCCCCCCTTTGTTCTTCCCCCCCTTCTATTTTCTTGCAATTTTCTTTCAATTGATTGAATCTAGTTATTGTTTTCTCTCTAATTATGAAATTGATCATGTAATTTTGTGTTTTAATTAGAATTTTTGAATTTTAGGGTTCGTCGTTGGGGTCGAATTTTAGATTTGTTGTTGGTGTTGAACTTTCATCCATATCAGTATATTGTTTAGTACTTGGGATTGGGTGTGGAATTTTAGATTCTTCATGAACATCAGCAGTATTCGCTGGTCGATTGGGTGTAGATGTTGCATCGAGAAGGGCGTATTGAAGAAGCTGTAGATGAGTGGCTAAAAAACAATTTTGTGTAAACACTGCCAAATGTGAGCCTTTTCAACTCAATAGTCGCTGTTGAGCATCAATTATTTATGGGTAATTATGATTTTTGCGAAGAATCAGAGATTTCGCTCGATAATTGATAGTACGCATTTAGTGCAGAGTGTAGAGTAGGAATATGCAGGTTCACTTATTACACGTAGTTAGCTGCTATAATTTGGCCCTTTTAGCAGCTCAGTTTAATGGCTTAGACATGTGTATGTATTGGATATATGTGAGTATGTGAGTAGGGTTTTCGAGTCACAATCTTGAATCTTTTGAAACATTAGAGAGCATAATTAGTAAACTTCAGCGTGACCATTAAGTTGATGTTTTCGAGTCACAATTCCGGGTCATTATATGGAAAGAGCATGAGGTGATAAATATACAATGATTTGAGGTTGTACAAAGTGTCATCATAGACTAGACTTCTTTTCTCTCCGGAACTTGGTGTTTTGATTTTTTGAATTCGATTCGTAACATGCTTCCTTAATGGATGAATGTCAAGACATCTTTCTGATTTCATTGTAATTTTTCCCTCTCATCACCCAAACGGTATGTAGGATTTATTATCTGCCTTTGACATTTCTTTTCTTGGTCTGGCATTATATTGAGAAGGTACTTCCTTTTCACACTTGTATTTGGTACGAAGTCTCCTTCAATGTAGCGGTGTCATTGGTTGCATTTGTTCATTTTAGGTGTTTAGCTTTGTCTAGGATCACATTGGCTGATGGAAAATAACTGTGTTGTGGTCTATTGTTGTGTTATAATGTCTTAATGACACAACCGCAAATAGTAGGGGCACTGCATATCAGAGTTGTAATATTTTGGTAGGGAAGGAAACAATTATGAAATATGCATCCTGATTTTGGTTGATAAGTTCTCATGCTATTCCGTTTTCAATGTTATTATGCATTTTTGCTTTAATTAACCAATAATCATGTCTTCTTGTATTTTCTTATGTCCTTACTTACATGTATAATGTCATGCTCCAGTTACTTAATTATTTGCCACTATCTAATAATGTTATTTTATATTTTCACTAGAAACCGCACATTGTTAAGTTATGGTACTTGAAAATTGTGACTTGGTTGATGATGTGATTCATGATGAACCATAATTCAGCTAGAAGGCGTAATCGGCAACTTCCACTTAGAAACCGCACATTTGTTAGGAGAATGGTAGAGTTAGCCTATTTAGACAGCATAATAGGATATGATGATGTTCAATGTGTGAACCAAATTAGAATGGATAGAAGAACGTTGTAATACCCTGAAAAGTTTAAATATATAAATTAATTATTTATGTTATGAATATGTGAAGGAAATAGGAAAACAAATCAATAAATGGTTAAGGAAAGTTCAGTGGGAAAAATGTGAAGATCAGTTCATGGATTTGAATATTAAAATAAGTATTTTGTAGTCATATTTGTAATTACAATGTATTTATAATTACGGTAGATATTTGTATCGATAAGTTAAAAAGACGAAAATACCCTAGTTGGTTTAACATAATTATATGAGGACGTATTTTATCCTCATATATTTTGTCATATTTCTTGACATATTTGGATAGAGGACGATTTCACGAGTGTGTAGGCAAAAACCGTTCGACAAACGGGGTTATAACGAATGAAATAGAAACGAACGAAAGTAGAGGCAAAATAGTCATTTTGCCATGGTTTTGGGAAGGTTCCATATTGTGTTTTGGATGGAAATAGGCCACGGGAAGGAAAAAATCAGAGGGGCAAAAGAAAGAAAGGGGGAGGAGGCGACTCTTCCATAGCTTTTGGAAGGAAATTCTTCTTTCTTTGGACAAAAATCGGAGAGAGAGTGTTTGGCAGAGAAATTGAGAGTTAGAGAACATGATTGTGAAGGAAAGATTCAAAGAATTGAAGGGTAAATTCCTTGTTCCTTGATTATCTTGATTTTCAAATTTAATTTCCTTAAGTAGAATTGAAACTGTTGTGATATATTTGGAGTTCATATTTTTATTTAGGGTTTTCTATCATTCAATGAACCAGTCTGAACATGAATTACAGTTGAGTAATTCAGAATGGGTGTGTAGATCAAATTTCTTGATCAAGGGTTTGGTTCAAAAGGTCAATTTCTTGTTAAATTTTGAGTCATGTTAGTTTTGGAAGTTGTATACATGACTTCTGGACTACCTGGAAGTATTTTGGGATTTGTTATATGAATTGGAAGTGGGCTGTTATGTAAGTTGCAGAAAATTGATTTCCTTGCAAAGAAAACTCAAGTTTCGAGTAGCCTTCTTTGGCGCTTAATTTCTAAGTCTTTATGTGCTTCTTTGAAGAAAATTTTTAGTGTGTTAAAAGTACATATGTTCATGATCGTAACCCAATTATTTTCACCCAGTTCCATTGAGTTTTGATTAATCAAAATCTTATTTATACTTGGGTCGCGAGCTGCCAAACAGTAGCAGAAAACTGGGTTTCCAGTTTCAAGACTCCATTTTTCTTTTTGGCATAACTTCCAATTTAGAGCTCTGTTTTCTACAAAATTTATATGGTTTTAAAGTATAGAACACAAGCTTCAAAACCCATATAATATCACACAATTTGGTTTATTTTTGAATGTTCCAAAGGGAGCCTAAACTTGGTCCAATAGTTCTATTTTCTGCAGATTTTGTGAAAGCAAAGTACTGTTTTTACCACACCTATTTTCTTTTCCAGATTCCTTTCTAATCTTCTTTACTTCTATTTAAGTGATATTATTTGAGTTACAAGACTCGTTGATCAGAGTGGCTAGAGAATATTATTGTGCTTCTTTGAATGTTCTTAGAATGTTGTGTGCCTGATTTGTGGTATGATGTTAAGATATAATGGTTTATGTGGTGAATGTTCGAGTGTAGTAAATGGTGAACTACGAAAGGCTTGATCTCGTTCAAGGGTATGTAGGCAGTTTAACAGGGCTGGTTGCAACCTTAAATAATCGAGAATTAATCTCTTGTTGGGAATTTGTTTTAAGAAAAGAAATTAGGTGACAAACTTGGAAAATTAAATCTTATGTTTTTGATAAATAAATGTTGGTTATAGACTTTGTGAGTGATTAAGAAATTTAAATAAAGAATTGTGATTAATGGTAGTTAGTTAAATTAGAGCTTAATTTTGGCCCATCATCGAAATTAGTTTCTGAAATAAAATTTTCGGGTCGGGGCGTTACAAACGTTCCATTATTTATGTTAGATGCTCCGTGGCCACGATAGAGTAAAATTGGATGGTGTAGTGACATAGAAGAACAAGTTTGCATGTTTTTGCATATACTTGCACATCATATAAAGAATCGTACACTTGAGAGTAGGTTTTGTCCATTGGGGGAGACCATAAGTAGGTATTTCAATTCCATTTTACATGGAGTGTTAAGGTTGCAAGGTAGACTTTTAAAAGTGCCAGAACCCATTCCTAGTGCCTACCCAGATCCTAAATGGAGTTGGTTGGAGGAATTCTTCATATTTTATAAAAATTACTTCTAAAATTAATGTAATTAAATATATTGAGCTTACTAATGTCATTGATTTTTTTTATATATAAAGAATTGCTTGGGGGCATTGGATGGGACTTACATTAATGTTCATGTCCCTGAGTGAGATAAACCAAGATACCAATCAAGGAAGGGAGAGATTGCGACCAATATGTTAGGAGTTTGTAATCTAGACATGAATTTTATATTTGTGTACCCAGGTTGGGAAGGGTTGGCCTTTGATTCCAAAGTACTTCGAGATGTGATAAGTAGACCATCGGGATTAAAAGTTCCCACGGGTAACAATAAATTATTTGTTTATATTAGTAATTTGAATCCTCAATTTTCTTATATATTGTAATATACATTTTTTTGGCTAGGAAAATCGTATCCCATGTACGACAGATTGAATGTTATTTTTGGAAAAGACTGAGCAACCAGAGTATGAGCTACAATTCCTACTGAGATGATGAAGGAGCCTAAGCAAATTAATGGAGATGAAGATGAAGCTGAGGTGGAGACTAGTTCTCCCTCTATTGCTCAACGTTCTAGCAATTCAAGTACCAAGAAAAGGAAGAGGTCAGCTGCTAATGATAATGATCTAGCTGTGACATTTAAAGAAATGCTTTCTGAACCAGTTGATAAGTTGGGTGAAGTTTTACAAGCTGCTTTTGGGAAAGGAGTGGATCCAAAACCTAAGATTGCTTCAAAATTGTCAAATATGGATTTGTCTATTGAGGATCAAATCAAGACACTGAATATCATTTTCGAAAAGCCACAGAATGAGAGGACATTATTGTCTTTGGATGGTTCAATGAAAAAAATCCTTCGTACTCATGTTAGTTGGATAAAGTAATCGCAGTTGACATTAGAAAACAACAACAATATATTTTGTTAAAAGCAACATGCATATCTTTTGTTAAAAGCTACAACATGTATATATTTTGAGTACTTGGACAAATTGCTTCTTACTAAAAGCAAAGCAGCATCATGCACATATTTTGGTTATCTGGACAAACTGTTTCTTACTGAAACCAGCTTGCATTTGTATATTTTGTGAATTTGGATATGTGGTTGGATTAATCTATATAACGTGACGACTGCAGTTGTGTTTTGTGAACCTTCTTTTATGTTATTGGAAAATATTGTGAATTTGATGTTTGAAATTTACTATTTTTCTTTGTTATTTGAAAATTTGTGTGGTTTTCAATAGGTATAAATATAAGTTCAACAAACAAACAAAGATTTGTCAATTTTTTTTCTTCCCTTTTTGTATCTGTTTCAGTATCAAACACAGTATAAATAATATGGTCAATAGTTCGATACTGCACCAAACGCCCGATTAATTTAGTCAGTACTATCTGGTGACTATTTATCCTATCCGACAGAAATAGTCAGTACAGTCCGAGTTGCCAAACGAGGCCTTATAGTGTTTCACGAGTTTCATGGTGTCGGTTTAGTGGTTTTTCAATATTTATCGGAATCTAAATATTTTTAGGTTAAAATGGTCACAAAATTAAATTAGGATAGTCTACATAATTTTTTTTAAGTTACTTCAAGAAAAAAATTATTTTAAATTCATTTTTTAATAATCTCGGGTTAAAATTTTAACTTAGAATAATTGGAGGAGAAAAACTATTTCTAGGTTAATAATTTTAAGTTTAACTAAAAGTTTTAGATGATCTTAATATAGATATTATCATTTGGTAAAAAAAACAAGAAGTCGAGATTATCCAAAACTAAGGGTGAAATGATGGGATTCAATGCTACCTATTATTTACTACTGCGTTGATATTTTAGCCATTAAATTATTTACATTTTAAACTTAACTATTTATTTTTCGTCTTTTTTTTTTTTGAAATTATTTTTCGTATTATATAATGTTACATACCGATCAACACACGTCATTATGTTGTCCCAAATAGCCGTGCGGCCTCCGACACCACTTCCTGAACGATTAATCAAATATTTAACTCTAAAGGCGCTTCCTTTATCGCCTTGTCGCAAACACCGCTAAGCTTTCCCCATACGGATCGCAAAATTTCTGAAACCCCAAAGCTTTTGGGTGGATTCCTGATCCAAACCCAAAATTAATCTCGGGGGTTTCTCTTGGTTCCAATCCTCCGCTTCCCGAACCATCGGTAACCGCCCTTCCCCGCCATCAACCGCCACCTCCTCCTCCTCCATCTTTCACCCTTCCGCCAATATCCAAATCCAGGTTCGATCGTTTTCCTTTCCACTTTTTTTAATTCTTGAAATGTTTCTGTTCATCGATCTGCTAATTTCGGATCGAAGCCACATTAGTTTGTCATCGCTTTTTTTTATTACTGTTTTTATTTTATTTTTAAATCTTGATTTGACCAAACCATCCAGAATTAACACAGAAATCAATATATTCATGTAATTTATTCGTTTTTAGATGTTTTTCGATTTAAAATTTTCTTTTGTTCTGATAAATATTGGGTGTTGTAGGGATTTTTGGGTTGGGGATAGAAGATGGGGGCATTCATTTCCAAGTTTTGGTTCATGTTGTTTCCTGCAAAAGAGTATAAGATAGTGGTAGTTGGGTTGGACAATGCTGGGAAGACCACTACTCTTTACAAATTACACTTGGGAGAGGTTGTCACTACGAACCCAACTGTAGGCAGCAACGTCGAAGAGCTTGTCTACAAGAACATTCGATTCGAGGTACCTTAGCCATTCCTCTCTCTTCTATGTTCTGTTTTTTTTTACATTTCGTTAACGAATGGTTATCCATTTTAGGATGGGTGAGTTTCTTGATTAAGTTAGGTTATTCTTGTGTGTGGTCGAGCTGTCGAGGGGTCCTTTTATCTGTGTTTATTGAATTCTTGTTGTTTTCTAACAACCTTTTTCTTAGACTTTTTAATACTGTATTTGGCTATTGATTTGAATTTCTCAGTTTCTTATTTTTGTTTTCTTCTCCTGATAGATATTTCTAGATAGCCATGCAGTTAATAGGGCTGTGTAAAGAAATCATCTTACCCAATTGTTTGGTTTCTTAATGGTGACTAGATGTATCTGTTACTTTCCCTCAATTGCCTGCCGTTCCCCTACTGCTATTGATAATCCTATCCATGGCAATGCCTTTGACATTTATCCCACATAATCACCCTCATCAAACCCATTTAGTTAATGGAGTTATAGTTCACTGCAGTATTAAGGGGAGGAAATTGTTCGGTGAAATTTGTTTCTTCTAAGATTATCGGTGTTGTATTGGGAGATTTACAGCAGCATGAGCTTTTAGCCCTTTCCACAAATCTTATCCTTTGCACAAATCTTATCTGAAGCATAATAGTAGTGGCCTCTTCGTGGTAACTTTCAAAGTTGATCATCTGTTCTAATAATGAAGAGGAATATTTTATTTTGGGTTGCAGAATTTTTTTAACCGGGCTTACAATGTGTTCAATCATTTTGTGTCAAGTACTTTAATAGGAAGTATACCATGCTCGACACATTGAAAGGTTAAGAGTTAACCGGAAACACACCAGTTGTTTTATATGCTCTGAAAGCTCTCACAGTTTAGATATGTTTACCATGAGAGTACTTGACTTCAAGTGCTTGAACATTCTTTTGTGGAAGGATGATTAGAGTTGTTTTATGTTTTTGTTTAATATATTCATGGTCTTTATAAGAAATCATTCAGTTTCATTCTCGTTGTTTATAACAGTTTTGATATGATGAATTTATAGAAAATGAAGAACCTAATGTTATAACAGTTAGGATTAGGCGTAAATTTTACTTGGATTGTTTGTTCTTGTTGTTACTTTTTTTCATTTCAGTTTTATTCTAGTTACTTACTAGAGCCATGTGCGTGTGTGTGTCATCATTCGTACATCTAAAATGGCATAGATTTGATATATCTGGAGGATGTACTTTTGGACAGGCTAATTGTCCCTGCTGTGTTTCTGAAATATATGTCTTAACATGTCAAGCAACAATACGTCCAACTACACAGGAAGCATGAAATTTCAACATTACTTGCCAACTGAGCATGATAACTACGACTTTGCTGATGGCGATCAAAGAAGTGTAGAAAGGAATTGAATTTCGTCGTTAAAACTTAGAAGATAGTGACATCCTTCATGTATAGTGACATTGTTGGTCTGTGTCCAAGTCTTTTTAGCTCATTAAATATTTTGCGCTACCCCATTTAAATGATGCTATACATCTCAGTTGGATCAAATGTTAGTCATGCTCTCAGTTTTCTCTTCCCTTGCCATTTTCATTTCATTCTCTCTCATTCAAGGCATTATATCATGCTTAAGTTTTCTTGGTGTTAGACGCTAAGATCTAAAGAAGATACCTGCAAATCATGTCAATGATAGGTATGGGATCTTGGTGGACAAGAAAGACTGAGGACTTCATGGGCAACATATTACCGTGGAACACATGCTATCATTGCGGTTATAGACAGTACGGATAGGGCAAGAATTTCAGTTATGAAAGATGAACTGTTGAGGTTGCTGGCACATGAGGATCTTCAACATTCTGTTGTACTGGTTTTTGCCAATAAACAAGACCTCAAGGATGCAATGACCCCAGCAGAGATCACCGACACACTCTCTCTTCACAGCATCAAGAATCATGACTGGCACATCCAAGCCTGTTGTGCCCTCACAGGAGAAGGGCTGTATGATGGTCTAGGTTGGATTGCCCAGCACGTTACAGGGAAAGCGCCCACTTGAAGAAAGACGGAGAGCGAGAGAGGGAGATTTTTCTTGTATCTGGGGTTTCAAGGCTGAGTGATGTATCAGTGTCAGTTGTGTATCATCAAAGCTATTTGCTCTGAGCAAATGTGTAGATCGTTCCCAATTTCAAATGCTTGAAGAATATTTTACCTTGTGAATCATTAGGCATTTCATTAAACAATACGAGATGCCTGAAAAATTGTAATGCTCTGCCTATATTTTACCTTGTGAAAAATGGTTACATTATGCAAATTTGCCTTAAATTAAAGACACTCCCAAATTTCGCATTGCCATAAATTGTCATCTGCACAATGAAACGTTTTGTGGAACATTTGCGGGTAACAGTAATAACAAAATCTTTGAATGTCCTAATTGAAGCCTGTGTGAACAAACGACGATGGAAGCCTGGAACTCGGCAACAATAATCACAATATCCAGCATCTGCAACCTTTTGAGTCTTGGGGGCCTTCGAACCATCGATCCCAGAACGGATTAAGAGGGCCGTGTGTTCTGTCAATCGCAAGAAGATGAAAATCAGAAACGATGGGAAAGTTCAACGAAACACCGCAAAAGGAGGCGGAATAGAGGTGTTACATTGGGAGTAATGGATCAGGCCTTGTTTCCGCACTGTTTAGTATTCTGGAGCACAAACAAAAGTTGGTAAACATATTGATCACGTTCGAAAATAGCTTTCTGGATAAAAAAAAAAAAAAAATCAAAATATTCTAAGTAGCTTTGGTGCTTACTCCTTGCATGCAGATGATGCCTTATCCATCTTTTCAAGTTGCTCCAGTTCTTCCTGCACAAACAAAATGAGGAGAAAAAAAATACATTCAGCAGCCTTCATAATGATGTCATGCTGATAAATCATGACAAACAAACACACACACAACAAGCTGCTGAATCCCTTTTTCGGGGTGCCTTTTGATTACCAAATCACATAACTAGATAATCGAAACTCCTGCCCAACAAAAAGAGAGGAAAACAAATAAAGCAATAACCATTATAAATCTCCAATTCCGAAGTAAACCTAATATGTAAAGTGTCACTAGATGCTTGCCATAAAAATTCGGGGTCGTGGGAGGCTGAAATGTGTCACTAGATGCTTGACAATGATGAGTGGTAGATAAGCTTTATTATAGAAACATTCGAGAAGCCAATAAGTGCCGAAAGAAATTTTTTTAACATAATCACATTTCAAAGTTATCTTAACAAGAAAAGTATGACACTGCAAGTTCATTGACATCCAACTTTTTGACCAGAACGTTTTGTATGCCTCACTCTTTCCTCAAGGTGCCCTACCCACATGGTGGAAGAGTTGAGTCACGAAACTCAAACATCGTTAACCTTAGTTGCTTCCGAAGACAGAGGATATGGAGTTTCATTTCTTAAAAGAAGTTATGATTTGTAAGTTTCAAGAGCATGCGGCATCAATTGATATATGGAAAGATTAATTAGACCCCCTCTCAAACCAAAACTTGAAAATAACTCCAGACATGACTGTCCCACCAATATATGTGGTTGCTCGTCAAACCAAAATGATAGCAGCCAGTTTAACAACTTCTACCAATATATGTGGTTTCAAAAAACTTATCTGAAGCATAACGTTAACTGCAAGTCTGACAACTTTTAGCCACAGACAATGACACCAATAATAGCAGTTGCTCCTAGGTTCGTGGACGGAGTGTTCTAACAGTCAAAAGCCCAAAGAGGTTAAATATCCAAATATAAATGTGACAAATTCATAATTTTTCTACTCAGCACATGAGAAGCCATCTTTCCAAACACTCCGATACCATTTAATTAGCCTTTATCATTTTTACGAACTTTACAGCTGAAAAGTTGAAACTTAGGACTCAAGGTACTCTGAATGTTGGTAGATCTGGCCAAGTTGACTATCACAAACCTCTTGTTATTAATACAGCCCCAGGAAACTTTAAGATAGCACTGGAGATCGCTAGATTCAACTGAATGTTCTGCCGTTTAATTTTAAGCTATTTGACTACAGTTCTTCTCTTGTGATAAGTAGGTACTTACTATGTTGCTAACTTTTTTCAATTTTATTCTAGTTTTCAGTTATCAACAATATGATAGGTCATGCATTTTCACAAACATTTGCTTGAAACCTTATTCCGCAACACCCCTGGTCATCTTTTCAATCCAACAAAATTTTGTCTTCAAGAACAACTTAAAGACCAAAATCTTGTAGTCTTGCACCGCATTTTCAGTTATCAAAACAATTTGACAACAAGACAACCATCAAAAACATTAACTTCAGAGTTTGATGTAGAGGACTCAAATATGTATACAACACATGCCAAACAAATGAGGAAAGTATGCCGCTGTATAAAGTGTAAAGCTCAACGATTCACTTCTCAAAAGTTAAAAGTGAGCAAATAAAACTAAAATACACAGGTACACCTCTTAGCTGTAAAGATCATGCTTTCTTACCAACAAAATCAATCAGTTGTTCACAAGAAACATGTACTCACCCGTCTATTATCCCATTATTAATTTATTATCTATCTGTTGCGAATCAAATTGCCCTTCTGCACATGTGATAAGGAACTATAACAACCGAGAAGGCAATCAACTATTCCCAAATGCAAACGTACATAATAACTGGACAACGACTAATAACTCCAAAAATTTCCAACTTTTGCAAAAAATATGGATAGAAAGTGGGTCACAGGGCGCAATCGGAAAACCTGACGAAGAGGGTCATATTAATCGAACAACAACCCTCATAAATTTGGGGTAACAATGAATAAGAGGGTCACATGGCTGCAATAGGCAAAGCTGAGAATACACTCCAAAGAGCGATGCATAAATTTCCCAAACTCTCACATTACACTACAGAACTAGGAAACCGAACCTACGGATTGATGAAACAAGACCACAATCTGGTAAACAATCAATTAAACCATTTCAAACTCTGCAACCATTTTAACACATTCACCACAAACCTAACAACTCTAATAAATGCATTTTTAATCCAATCCAATCCTAGATTCCATCATTGACTCTCTAAACCTTAAAACTCCAAACAAACAAACAGAAAATCCAGTGACCGTACAAGTCCAGCAGCTAATTGAATTCATCCTTAAAAATTGGAAATTCTCACTAGCTCACTGGCACATGCATCCAATCACACTCAGAAACGACACATAAGACATCAAAATCCAACAACATAAGACGAACTCAAATTCTCACCATCACAGGTAAAAATAATCACACTGACCTCTAAGAATCTAGTTTCTTGCTCGAGCCGCTTCAACTCGGCATGTATCCTGTGCTTCCCTCTGGTGTCGGCGGCGGACAAGGACTGCAGCCGTAGGGTTGTTGGGCTCAATGTTTCCGACCCATCCGATTGCATCGTATCGCAGAACCCACTAAAGCTTCAAACCGTCTAGCAAAAACCCAGTTGCAAAAACCAACATATACCACAAAGAAACAATTTGATCATCGAAGAAACGCCACTGGAGTGGAAACCAACGACAACCCAGAGATCTTCATGGACCCCACAACCAATTTCTCGCCAGAAACACAAAGCCCTTTTGCAAAGGAACGGATCTAGTAGTTAAAGAGAAAGGGACAGAGACAGAGGGTTTTTGGGTTTGGCTGTTTTGGAAGGGAATGAAAGGGGAAAGGAAGCAGCTTTCTTTCTTTCTTTGTCTTTTGGTTGTTTGGTAGTGGAGGGAGTGTTGGATCAAAGCTGGTTTTCTTTTTTTCCGTCTTTTTTGTCCCTCTTTCTCTCTCTGCTTTTTACTCTCTCTCACTACTTTGAAGTCCAAGAAGGATATAGACTCATACAGATTCGTTACTTTGTTGTGCAGCCCCACGCGGTGTCTATATGCCCACTTTGCGCCCTGTAATTGTGGAAGTGCGCGCGCATGGTACTGTTGGCTTGGACAGGACACTATTTAGCTCTGGTGTGTTAGTACTAGAAAGTAGACGGGAAGAGAGTCCGTAGGAATCATTACTTGCTCGGTTGCTGCTGTCCTCAGAGACCAACTTACATGGAAATAGAACCCATTTGTCGTTATTGTGGCGTTTTGATTACTAGATATTATGTGGTTGCAAATCTTTTTAACGTAAATTCTTCTTTTGTTGAGAGACATAAAATGGATTTTAAGATGGACATTTGTGAATTGTGATTGGTAAGTTTCTCTAGTGGTGGTGTAAGTTCCCTTATTATCAGTCATGACAATTTTATTGTGTGACGGTATGGTATAATGACACTGTGTTGCAAATTCACCTAATACAGAAGGAGATCTTAGGTCAAGTGTTTTTTTTTAATAGAAGGTCAAATGGTTAAGAGAAATTATTTTGCATTCAAGAGATTCGGATTTACCTCCTCCAATTTTTTTCTATAAAAATAAAAAATGAATTCACCTAATACATATGCAATTAATCGTACATTCCGGCACATTCACTTACTTCAAATAAGTATTTGACGGTGTATATGATGGCGAGGCAATTGAAGATTAAATTGAAAGGTGCAAATCCAACATCAAGATCCAAGCTTTTGCATATTCGGCCTCCAGTAACCTATTGGAGCCCATGAGAATGGCATCACTTGTTCAACTTAGGATTTGGCATGAGTTTCTTAGACCAAACTCTGTCATTTACTATGTTTTTGTAAACTTAAATTGGGTAAGGTCATGAGACCCGATTTGTGAACCCAGATCTTGGATCCATGATATGCTCAAATGATTACTGAGAAATATGTCAAATATACCTTGATAATTAGTCGTGAATCATCTACAATCTCTTTCTTGAGCAATTTGTAGACGAGGCGTCAATGTGGAGAAAATTAGGTTTTTCTCTCTAGCCTTGTTTCACGTTTGAACCATAATCCATATTTTTCCTTAATAACATATTTGGGGCGTGTTTGTTTGCCCTCGTTAAAGTTCATTGGATTGGACTACTTTGCTAAGACTACTAATCCCGTGTTTGGTGCAAGCTGGACTAAACTTTAATGGGATTAAGTCGGACTCGTTCCGACTAAGAGCTTTGCTAAGTCGTCCTAGTGAGACCCCCCAAAAACCACGGGATTGCTAATCCCGTCTCCAACATCGTTTGCACACCTTTGTCGTCTGCAACTCCTACTCTCTTACCCCTGTCCAGATCTGAAACCCACTACCACCCACTGAAATCTCAAAATTCAACATCTAAAATTCTCCCAAAAGCACATGCAGACGAATCTCCAGAACAAATTCAAAACAAAAACCTCAAAATCCAACATCTAAAATTCTCCCAAAAGCACATGCAGACGAATCTCCCGAACAAATTCAAAACAAAGACTCAAAATCACCAGAAAATCCCGAGATTTTCCGAGAAAATCAGAGGAGGCGTTGGGTGGTGAACTTTGGTGAATCCTCTGCATAAGGAATAAAGGGAAAGGTTGGGGAGAGAGTGGATGGTGGAAAAGAGGAGATGGGAGGGAGATGGGTAGAGGAAAATAGAGAGATGTATACGAAGAGTAGGAGAGTGGAAGAGAAGTCTAAAAAATGGTGAACCAGATAAAAAGAGGGAGAGGGGAGGGAGAGAGTAGCGGAGGAAAGTGGAATGGGTAACATTGATATGCTTGGAAAAATAAAAATTGGCCATTAGATAGGTGTTTCTAGAAACAAGTAAAATGATAGATTAATAATAAAATATTAATAAATAGAGATTAAATAATATAGTATCTAAATTTAATAGTTATTCTGCTTTTTAGTCCAACACTGGACCAAACGTTTCACTAAATCAGTCCAGCTTAGTCTAGTCTAAGCCAGTCCAGTTTAGTTCCTGAAGCTAGTTCAGTCCGAGATATTCCGGTACAACAAACACACCCTAGGTGAGCATGTGAGGCCAGGATAGGCCTAGGCCCCTTCTGTATCTCCATCATATATTTTACCAAATTGTTAAAACACCACATGTATTCAAATTGCTCAAAGAGCAATTGTTTTGAAAGCAAACTAATTTTGTTATGAAATAAGGTCCACTGTATAATGTGTTGCCACCATATGTTTTTAACAATTAGTTTTCTGGTATAACTTTTTCAATACTAATGTCTCATGAAAGCTATAAGGATTCATCATTCTCTTTAGTTTATAATTATCTGTGCCAATGTAAGTACTAAGTAGCGTGTATTTCGTTTTATTTGAAAGTCCTGAGATTTAAATTTGACTCTCGCGGATAGCAAATTCGATAACAAATTATATTATGATAGGCCTAATGTGTCATTTAGCCCAAATCTCCCCTTAAAGCAGTTGAATCTACATAATAAAATTGGTCTCTATTGAATTTACATTAAGAATAGAGAAAATAATCTTTAATAAACAACTGATTGAATCACATTATTGCTAGCCCATTGTGAGGCTAAGCCCACCCTCTCCCCCTTAGTGTAGATAATATCATTTGTTCAAAAAAAAAAAACATTCATTTGACAACTAATTTAATCACATTATTATCAGCGTGCGAAAGACATTTTTTATAACTGGTATTATCTCCTTTTAAGATGTTTTGAATGTGTTTAAAAATAGAGAAAATAATATTTAATGAATAACTGATTAAATCACATTATTGCTAGCCTATTGTAAGGTACTAATTATTAAAAAAAAATAAAAAAAAACTATAACAAAAAAATTAAGCATTAAAAAACATTGTCAAAATGATGAAAATACCCCTACCACATTTGATGCATTATTTTGAGTTGCTTTTGAAGTTTTTGTTTGAGGGGGCATTTATGTTCAATTATTTTTTGGTGAAGCTTGTGACACCAAAAAACACTATTTATTGGGCCCTTGGTTTTATATATAAAGATAAAGTTGTTTCAAAATAAATATTCATGTCAATACAAAAATAAACCTGAATTTCCTCTCTTATATTTTGTTTAGTTATGGCCTAGCCTACATGCCCTTCTTAGCCTCGATTTTTGGCTCCGCACTATATTAGACAGAAATGACTTGTATTCTTGTATGCCCATAATTAATTACCACCCTATCACGATAATATAATAGGAAATTAGGCCATTTCCAACCAAAAGGGCTAAATATAGCCCCGTCCAAAATTATAGTTCTGCAAAATATTTTTTTTAAATGAACAATGTCAGGCCATACTCATATATTATCTCCACCGAATGGCCTAAAACATATCCCCCTTAATAATTTACTAGTTTTAAGTTTGTACTTTAAATTTATGGTTAATTTAATTAAACTATTTTCAAATCTAGCCGTTGAATTTGAATTAATTATTGCAATTGAGGATTGGACCCAAAAAAGAAGGCTAAGAGGGGCTACATTTGGCTAGTATGATGCCTCTTTGGCCAAATAATGGTCTGGGCTCAATAGAATTATAATCCAGCCTTCGGTTGGAGATAAGTTTTTGAACAAATCATGACCCTTTTTTTTCTTTTGAACCTTTAGCCCTCTCTATTGAAGATGACTTTAGTCCTCGTAGTTTCACCAATAAGGTTGCTTCCAAAAATAATATTCATTAAACCAAATATATCACATGCATCGTATCATGGGCGTTACTCCATAATATTAAAATATTCTTGTAGTTTTTTCAACATTTTATGATATTTCAGTATTTTGTCGATTTCCTAATTCCTAATTCATTTTATATTTGTACTTCCACAGATTTTGGGCTAAGAGACATTGTACAAGTATCCTTTATGATGGCAAGGGTTATCTTTCATATTATTCAGTCAATAAAACTTTGAGATTTTATCATAGTTTTTGGTTTTGTTGTCGGTCAAAGTAAATTTTATTGAAAGAGCAAGTTAGTACAAGTAAGGATAGCTCAAAGAGAGAGTTCAAGATATTCAAGCACCAAAATGGTCCCTAAAATTGACATAACTCATCAATTTGGTCCCTGAGATTTGAAATCGATAGAATTGGTCCATGAGTTTGTCTATCATCAACTATTTTAGTCATTCCGTGAAAAATCTCTGTTAACTAAGGACCAAAATGACAAAAATACCCTCAATTTGGAAAACAATGTGCAAACTGATTTGAATTTTTTTGAGAGTATTCATTTCGTCTTATTTAATTTCACGGAAGTACCAAAATGATTGACGATGGACAAACTCAGATACCACTTCTATTGATTTTACGTTTCAAGGACCAAAGTGAGGAGTTATGGTAATCTCATAGACCATTTTGATTAAAACGCCTAAAATAATTGATGCTGTTGATGCACAAAACCGGAGGTCTTGGAACAACGTAAATCCGACTGTGAATCTACAAGTAATGTAAATAACACAAGATGTATCGTGGTTCACCCCAAGGTTTGGGCTACGTCCACACTGATTATTGTATTTCTCTGAGAAGTGAGGGAGAGAGCCTCTGTAATGAGAAGGGATGTGAGAAGGGTGAGAAGGCTCCAGAAATGGCCTCTTCTAATTGTGAGGGTGATGGGTCCTTTTATAGAACTCCTCACTTATTACATATTTGCCCCTTCCTTTATCACATAATTACATTTAAGTCCCTCGAGTATTTGTACGAGATCTAAATACGAGGCCCTAAATATGGTATAAACAGTAGTCCCCCAAGTCTTCAGTCAAGAGAATCTTTTGGCTGGAGACTTGAAATTCAGTCCATGTGTGGGCCGAAGTAACTAAATGCTGTCTTGAACTGATGTTCGATATGAGGTGGTGCTCAATTTGAAATGATGCTCAACTAGAAGTAGCACATGCTGCGAGGCTGCTCTGCTCGTGGCTTATGTTGCCTTGGTTGGCTCGGCTTGTGGCGTTGAAGGTGAGGGAGTTGATAGGAGCATATTTATGCGCCTTAGTTAGCTAGTTCTTGTGCATTTAAGTTGTTTTTCCTTAGTCAAAGT